CTCAAAGTATCTACTGAATTTGTTCATCTTATTTCTGAACTTCTGCTTTCAATCTTGATTGTCTGAGGACAAGAATCTGAGCCTCTCTAACACCAGGACTAAGAAATACTGACTTTAGTTGAAACCAAAAGTTGTTATTTTAAGTATTTTCTTTCCTTGATTTAAATATGGGAGCGAGTGCAGGCACATAATGCACGCACACACACACATATATATAAACTCTTCTAATTTAAGACATTCTAGTACACATTAAATCATATCTATTAAAGTACCTCTTCATTATATTTTATTTGGATTGATCAGACATAATTTTGCTAAAAAGATTGAATTCGCTCTAGCTAAGTGAATAACTATTGATATAAGGTGATAACTATTTTTGCAATCCAGTGTAGTGAAATGAAGTTGGTTTCTGAGTGCAAAAACTTATAGATTCAGATTCTATGTCCACTATTAACTAAGCTGGAAGGATTTTGGACTTAATTTGTCACACACAGTTTAGCAACCAACCTCTATTACTCTTGATTAAGTAACATTGTAGCACTGTCCTCTGTTGTTCAGCAAGCGGCCCAGTAATGTCTCCATTGTGAGACTTATTGTTACTGTGTTTGGCATATTGAATACATCAAGGGTAGCTTGACAGGCTTTACTGTGCAGGTAAGACACTCTCTGTAGCTTGCCAGGCTCTATGAGGGGGGCGGAGGAATGAAACTGGGCTCGGCTGGGCCGGCAGTGTGCAAGGGAAACGCCCTACCTTCTGTACTATTGCTCCAGCCCTTAGGAAAAATGAAAATTGTACTTTAATTTTTCAAATATGATTTTGTAGTATCTTGTAGCATTTCTTGTAATTGCTTTAGAAAGAAACATTAATGGGTTTCAGTCCTTTCTTTTCCCACAATATCTAACCCAGATTCTGTACAAAGATACAGTAGGTTCCTAACCCCCAAATCACTGGAAATTGTCACTTTGGATCACTCTTAAGTGATCATATCTGAATTACACTGATTGTTTTATGATACAAACCAAATAATCATTAAACCCTTCCATTTTCAGAATTTCAAATAATACTAATTTTCTGCTAGGTTTTCATAATACAAGATTTACTAAAAAGTAATGTATTGATGTAAAATCTTATATGTATCATTTTCCATCTCAAAGTAATAGTAAGTACAATGTAGGCCATTTGACCAGTTTTTGATACATAGAATTTTTGTTCTTTTCATTTATATTGGATAAAAAGAACATTTCTTTTCAGAGAAATCTAAAGAAATCATATATATATATATATATATATATATTTAAATAGAATTCATTACTTCCTTTTCCTGAAATTCCCTATTGAGAGCAAGATTTTGATACAGGTTTATTAACTGGCAAGTTAAAGAACTGTTGTTTTTAGAATAAAAAATATTTTTAAAATGAAAATAAATAATCCTGGCTCCTAACTAATTTCAGGATAAACAGTAGTTTCACTGAAAATTATAATCATATGTAATATGACACATGTAAGTGAGGAGATGCGGAGATAAAATTTGGCAAAATACAATTTAACTAATCCTAAATTATCCTTTTCTCATTTAATGTTTGTACTTGCACTTCATGTTTTATATTGATTTCACTAAGAATATTTATATGGGCTGAGGATTGGAGTGTGTAAAGAATTTGGATAGAGAATACAACTTCACAGTACTTATCTGAAGTCAAAATATTTGAGTCATTGTCAAACCTTGACACTTATTTCTCTAATGACTATCCTGTTTGATTAAGCAATTACTACTTTGAAAACATTAAGTATTATCCTCAGCATTCTGTCTGTACCTCCTTTTGGTCAAGTAGTTATCTGGTCACTGAAGCTTATTGATTCTATTTGTAAAATAACAACAAAATATATGTTCCAACTCCTTTGTTGGTGTGTTAGTTTTCTTCAACTTTCACCTTGATTATTGACATAATTTTTAACTCCTCTTGTCCTACATGATTCTCCACATGATCCCAAAATTACTGATACATGGTCACGTCATATAGCACACATGGACAAAAAAAGATACAATGTTATCATCTATGGAAAATATTTCTAAAATTTACAAAGATAAACTATGATCACTCAGTATTAAACTTCCTTCTTGTTGTTTTCACATGCATCCTATAATCTACATACATTAAATTCATTCATTTTCTATATACTCATGATTGATGTACTCTTGTGACGTTATCTTGTATACATTCCATCTCTCTCTCTCTGTTTCTAGGCATCTTTCAAAACTTGGTTTTATGTAGATGCTTTATTGCTTTATTAGGGAAAAAGGGAAGAAAGGGGTTGGGTCAGCCCTTGCAGTGCTCAGGATTTACTTACAGCCCTATGTTCAGGGTTCATTCCTGGCAGCCCTCAGGGGACCATAAGTGGTACCAGGAATCTAACCTATATCACCTTCACGCAAAGCAAGGGCCTTATCCCTGCAGCATGCCTCTGACCCCTGTTAAGATGGTTTTAATTACTGACTTAGAAGGAAATTAATTGTCTAATAAATGTAATTCCACAAAGCTCTCATTCAAAAACAATTACTTCAGCAGTGGAGACACCAGAGTTTCCATGAATTTCAGCTGCTTGGCATGCATTCCTGGGAGATTTAGCTAAAATTTATGGAACCACCAGTCCCTGCAACTGAGAACTCCAGGGTGTCCTTGGGAGGTGGGCAGGCTGAATACCCACTTGGAGCCAAAGCCCCAGAAGCAGTTCCCACACCCCACCACTGTAGTCATACCAAGGACTCAACTCCAGCACTTCATGAATATTCTCTGACACGAAACTGAATAATTTCAAGTATCTGGTGTTGAGAATTCTGGTGATTTTTAAGAGTCAGGGTGGATAGCCTCCCCCAGTCTTCCATACTTTCAGAAGCACCAGCAGATATGCCCACCACACAAAGCCCCTGCCAGGTGAGGTCATTGACTCAGAATATAGACGCTGAAGTTTCTGGAACCTTCAGATTTCTCAATAAACCTCCTAATTTCTCAATACTGAAATTTCAGTATGGGCACACCAAATTAGATGAAAAAATAATATAGAAGCCAACTAAACTCACCAAACTAAAACAGCAACACAGAAGGCTCAACTAGCAACTGACAGCTTAATAAATACTCAGACAAAGAACTTACTCCTGGTATCAGATATATTTTTCATATAAATTGAATTTTTATACTTATTGATTTTAATATTTGAGCTTTGTTGTCTAGTCAATTTTAATTCTAGAAATTTATAATCGATTTTGTTTTTTTCCAGGTTAAAATAAATAAAAAAATAATAATGACACAGTTTCTAATATAGATCATGCTCTATGGAATAAAGACTGTGCCTTATTCATTCTATTAGTTTCAATTCTTAAAAATCTTTGACACAGATATGTAGCTAATGAATAACTTAAAACTAATAAGTAATTATTGACAATCTAAGAATGCCAAATGGTAGTAATTGCTAATATGGGTTGAGATTCAATCAGTGGAGTTCAATGGGCAACAGAGATGTGAAATAATTTGGTAGTCCCATGGAAAAGATTTATACTACATCTTCTGAACTATATCCTAAGCCTAGTCTTTCAAAGGCCAGATACTTAAAGTTATATTAACCATTGTTAAATAACATAATTTTCCCAATTAATTCATGTAGCATACGGAAAATTTCAAAAACAAATATACAGTTAGAACCCAGAAGATGGCACTGTAGTGCAGGTTTTAAGATGAAAAACAATAACACAAATGCTATGAATCTCAATGATATATTTTTAAAATTTAAACCATCAGTGTAATCATAGACAATTATTCAAACTATAAAATGATTCTGAAAAATAAAAATTTTATGTTTTTATCCATTGAGCACAGAAATATTTCCTTTTAGAATTTTGTGAAAACTTTCCAAGTTAATTTATAAAAGTAAAATGTGCTCTCTTGCATTTCTCTACGAAGATATGTGGAAGAGGAGTAAGTAAAAGACTGAAAAAGCTAAGTGGTGAAATAGTTCTGATGTAACTCTTTCTCACTATAAACCTCTGAACCCCAAAAGGAAAATTCATATGGAATTAACCATTGGTTTCCTCCAATGCACAGATAATTTCAACTATTTTATCTTACTATGAAATAAACTTAATGACAAATTTGTTTCTGCAGAATGCAAATTGTGACTTTGGTCCTATGTTTGCAAATAGTATGTTCGTAAGTGAATGGTCTGCTAGTTTTAGTAAATAATACAATAAACATTATACAAATAGCATCACATACATATTTTATATGTATGTTGGGGATATGTATACGTAAGTTGGGGATATGTATATTTAAGTTGGGGGTATGTATATTTAAGTTGGGTATATAAATGTTAAAGATTGAATGTTCAAATTATAATATTTATTGGCCAGGTCTCGGAGAGCCTGACAAGCTACCGAGAGTATCTCGCCCTCACGGCAAAGCCTGGCAAGCTCCCCGTGATGTATTTGATATGCCAAATACAGTAAAAAGAAGTCTCACAATGGAGACGTTACTGGGCCAGCTTGAGCAAATCAATGAACAATGGGAGGACAGTGCTACTATTAGCCAGGTAAAAATAAACAAAATATTGACAATACCTACAAAGTAATAGTTTTTCAAAGTTAAACTTCACTTTTTTACCAGTCATTAGTTCATTAAGTTATTTTTTTTTTAATTTTTATATTTTGTAACAATTGGCAGTGATCAAAGGCTATTCCTGGTGGTACTCAAGAAACTTTGTGGTGCCAGGTTTTAAACTCTGGGTTACTGCACAATTTGCAACATTCCCAAGCTTGAAATAAACACTTTTATTTTAAATAGGGCTGGAGCGATAGCACAGCGGGTAGGGCGTTTGCCTTGCACGCAGCCAACATGGCCGACCCGAGTTCGATTCTCCGCCCCTCTCGGAGAGCCCGGCAAGCTACCGAGAGTATCTCGCCTGCATGGCAGAGCCTGGCAAGCTCCCCGTGACGTATTCGATATGCCAGACACAGTAACAAGTCTCATGATGGAGACATTACTTGGCCCGCTCGAGAAAATCGATGAACAACGGGAGGACTGTGACCATTTTAAATAGAGATATATCCTCATATAAAAGGATCTAAATGATAACAATTTTTATTATATATATCCAAATTTTCAATATTTAATCCATTGGAAATTAAAGCTATTATGCAGGAAACTTAGAGATTTCATTTTATTTTTCAAAAGGAAATAAATCAGTGGAGTGCCAGCCTGGATCAAGACCTTGTGCTGATGCTCAGAAGTGCATAGCAGTTGATCTGTTTTGTGATGGAGAGTTAAACTGCCCCGATGGTTCTGATGAAGACAGTAAAATTTGTGGTAAGTGATGTCTACCTCCCTCTCACCTTTACATTAATTCTTATGCATCCCTCATATATATATGGGATATATATATCAATACCAGAAACTACTAGAAATTGTCTTATTTCTGTAAATATGACTATAATTCAATTATTATGTCACTGTTGTTCTAAACTTTATTACTTAATATTAATCATTAGTTAGAAATTTAATTTGATCACAATGGAAAGAAAGTCTATCACAGGTGTGGTATGATATGTCATTACTTTTAATCCCCTTTTACAGTACTATAAAGAATTATGAATTTAATTGCTTTTCAATTTTTTTCATTATTCCGTAGTGATATTTCTCCATTGTAATGATGTCCTAATTCAATAATTGGTAGTTATTGATCTTGAATATTTCTTTGTTTTTTGACATAGAAACAGGAGAAAAGTGTATGTGAATTGTGGTTCTCTACTAGAACACACTCTAATCTAAGTCTCATAAATAAAATGTTTGTTCCTTATTTGTAAATTTTGACATATTTTTTGAGAGATGATAGAACAATAGTTATTACATTTAAACTATTACAATTAGCAGTAAGCACTACAGGAGTGACTTCAAATGAAATTAACAGATTTATACTTCACTTTCTTTCATCATTGTATAGCTAGGTAATGTACAAGAGCTTATCACATATTGTAAATAAAAATTGGTTAGCAATTTTAAGAATTATACAAATAATTCTCACATCTAATCTGTTCTTAAAAAACATAAGGCATGAATTAAACAATTCATTATCCTTTATGATTGGTTTTAAATTTGAGATTTCAATTAGACCTTGATATGTATAACATCCAAAGTTATCACTTAATTTAATTTCCTATTGTGTTTTTGTTGCACTTTACTGTTCTTGCTTGTTATTAACTAAAGATGTGTGTTCCCATAGCACTGTATAGCACTGTCCTCCCATTGTTCATCAATTTGCTCGAGTGGACAAATGTAACGTCTCCATTGTGAGACTTGTTACTGTTTTTGGCAGATATGTCACAGTTAGATTGCCAGGCTTTGCCATGCATGTGCGATACTCTCAGTAGCTTGCCGGGCTCTCTGAGAGGGGCAGAGGAGTCAAACCGGGATCAGCCCGGATGGTCTGCGTGTTACCAAGAAACAAAATTTTTAAAACTTACCTCTGTGCTCTGAAATATACTTTCTAAGACGGGAATTTGGTTTCTTTCCAAGTACCAACTCAAATAAAGATAACTAAAAATATCTTTTCTATGCAATTCCAATTCAAATGATCTTGGATAAAATTCAAACATTCAAAGTATAACTACATACTTTTAACTGGTCTAAAATATTGTTGGAATAACGTGAAGAATGCAGAATATTTTAATCTATTTAATATAAATACATTACTCAAAGAAGAAAAGAAGTGAAGTGATTTTCATCTTTGCAAGGAATTCCAGGCAGCTCCCAGAACCTTTTTAGAGAATATAAGTGTACCATCAGTACAAGTATGCCATTATATGGTAATAAATGTGATGTTGATTTATGTTTCAAAAATACTATTATATATCAGCTAAAAACATATTTCTGAGACTATAAAAATTATGCTCAATAACTTAAAATTTAGAGACATATAAAATATCAACAAAATAATTATAAAATGTACCTCAACTATTTGACCTCTATTGGTATGGAATTCATAATTTCCCCAATAAATTAATATCAGTGCTTATCAGAAACTACCATAGAGATATCTTATGTGTAACAACTTTCCTTATAATAGATAAAAGTTCAGAAATGTTATTCTGAGTCTCTGTAAACATGGCCAATATCTTAGTCTTAGAACTTAGATGCTAAGTTTACTTTAAAGATATAAGTGAATTGCATCATCACTTCTCTAAATATTAGCATATTTTTCTTATTTTAAAATGAGTTGTGGGGCTGAAGGGATAGCACAGTGGGTAGAGCATTTGCCTCGCATGCAGCCGACCCAGGTTCAATTCCCAGCATCCCATATGGTCCCCAGAGCACCCCCAGGAGTAATTCCTGAGTGCATGAACCAGGAGTAACCCCTGTACAACACTAGGTGTGACAGAAAAAGAAAAAAAAGAGGTTTTCTTTTTTTGAGAGAGAGGTAATAATATAGAGGTTAAGACACTAGTCTTGCTAAAGGGTTTGATCTTTTGACATGGGTGTGGCCCCTGGCACCACATATTGTCCCCTGAGCATAGTCAAGAGTGATCCCTGCACATAAATCCAGAAGTAATCCTTGAGTACTGCTGAGTGTGGTCTCCCAATCACCAAAAAATTTGGGGATGGGGTAATTTTGACTACACCAGTTTGTGCTCAGGGCTTACTCTTGCTCTCTGCTCAGGATTTACTCCTAGCAATGCTGAGAGACAATATATGATGCTGAGGTTTAAACTTGAGATTGGCTGCATGCACAATAATTGTGTATCCCATGGTACGAGCAATGTACCATTGTTCCAGCCCCAATGAGAATTAAATGTTTTTGTTTTATGGAAACTATATTATCACACCATGCCCACCACTAATGTGCCAATATCTCTCCAGAACAGTTTATGGGACCTTTCCATTTTCCACTTAGGTAACATTAATCCTACTGCCATGGTTAAAGAGTTTGTTTTCATTGAATGCTTACAAAATTTTTGTCGCTACACTAGAAAGTTAGCTCTGTGAGGTTATGAGAGAGAGAGAGAGAGAGAGAGAGAGAGAGAGAGAGAGAGAAATGAAGTGAGCAGGCTTCACTAAAATTTGAGTCAATGCTGTGGTGGTAGTGATAGTAGATTTTGAAAAAGTGTAAAATCACCATTCAAATATATAGTCTTGCAGCAAATATCATCTCAATAGAAATAAATATATTTTAAAAGCAATTTATAAGCTATCAGTGTTAAACTATTTTAAATTATTTCAAAGATATTATTTTAAAATAAAATGTAAAGACTGAAATAGAAGCGGCTAAATCAGTTTCTCTTTACTTAATAAGATTCAGGTGTATACATTGCTTTATTTAATCATTAATCCTGGTACCTTCTAAAACATCATGCACTTTACCTGAATACCAATTCAAACCCACATACCATAATTTCTACATGGAAACCCTTATCCATCAATCTATACTCATAGAAAATGCATTGAAGAGAATTTTTTCTATATGAAATTAACCTTTGCTCCCATTCTCTTTCTCCAGCTGTGAGCTCTAATTCTAGTTGGCGTTATTAATAGAGTCACATTAATGTTGACTTCCTCACACAGCTTCCTTTTTTTAGTAGTTAGTTATTTAGGTTTGCACAACTTATAGCTGACGATAGCTGAATCAAGATTTCTTTAAATTGTTTTCCTTTTCTGATTAGAATTGCATCAGCGTGAAAGTTCACTTTTTGTGCTGACCTATGAGGAGGAAATATGCTGACTCAGTCATGTGGGCCAATGTTCAGATCCGTTTGGAGGTTGGCAAGTGTCTCCATACATTGTTTGCATACCCCCATGCATGTTCACAAAGGACCTTGTAGGAGCACATAGATCAGATTTGATTGGTATACTCTGGAGTCTTCAACGTCCCAACAAGCACAATTTTCAATGTTGAGCCAGCAGAGGGAGCTTTCTCATAATCCTGAGAACCAGTTCTTAACAAAGTCTATGCCATTGCAAGTGAAGGTTTCTAAGGTGTACCAGAATGACTGATATTGCCTCACTGACACGTTTATTTCCCATTTGATTTTTTATCTGATACTAAAGTGTTATTATAAAGTGTAAAAAGTGTTGTTCCTGAATACCCTGTAATCTGACTCAATAATGACTGGATTATCTTTATTTTTCAGAGCAGTAAACTTGCTCCCACTGTACTTTGTAAAATTTGGCATTTCAAGGGCTAAAGCCCAACAGTCCGAGAACACAGTTTGCGTGTAAGAGTTCTGGTATGTCCCCTGAGATAGCAGGTCCCCTAGGCAACATGAAAGGACATCTATGCACCACAGTGTAAGAGCCAAAAACTAAAATAATAATGAATAAATCAACAGAATTAGTGTTCTTCAGATATATCCTTACATTCAATGACAGCATGTATGAGATAGACCCTAGCACAATTTCATATCTTAAAATGATATTTTGGCATTCTGAACTATTTTATTACACGTGGATCGATACTATTTGTATTTTATTAGAAATACTTTTGGATTATTCTTCTCAGACTTTAATTTCACATACGAATTCATCAAAGACTTGATCTAAAGGTTATCTATTCTAGCTAAAACTCAGCCACTTACTAGATAAGCAAAATCATATTCTTTAAGTTGTAGAATCAATGAGCTTATTAATGAAAATCAATAATAATTGATTTATCAAGCCAGATCACAGCCCATGGATAAATGCAAGGGGCTGCACGCCTCGTAGATACTAAGTATGTCAGCACTCTCTCCTCGATGTCTTCTGTCCCAGTAGTTCTCCCTGGGTCTTTTGCAAACTACTGCAGACCATGATCAGTTTAGAAATTGCATCTGGAAATAAACACAGTTATTTCCACAGTAGTTTCTTGAGTAGCACCCCATTTGGGAAAGTGCAATTCAGTCATCTACGGGATTGAAAAGCGTTATGACAAACATACAGTGTATAAAATCTCCGGGGTGGCCCGGGGAGGCCTAGCGGCTCTCCCCTTCACTGCCCAAAATCGTGGGCCCAGGCAGCTCCCCCTACCTGGGGCAGCCCGGGGCATCGGGCAGATGGAGAGGGAAGAATGAGGGTCAGGCCGGTTGATTGATCAGTTGCCGTTTATTCTATTCTCTCCATGTGCCTGTTTCAGTGTCTCTGAGCCTCCCATTCTAGTCTCACTCTACCCTTCATTCATCTCTTCCTGTCTCTCCTGCTCAACTCTCTGCGCTCCAACTGGCAGCCTGGGCTCTTTCTCCACCTTTCTGCTCCTGAATTCTTCTTGTACATCCTTCTCTCTCTGGCCCCCTTGCTAGTTTCTCCATGCTTCATCTTGCTGCCCTGTTCTCTCTCCTCTCTCACCCAACTCTCTTGTCTCTCCAATTCCTGGCACTTTGGGGACACTACACCTAGGTAGCAAAATCAACATAAGAAAGCCCTTCCTGACTGCCAGATAGAAACATCACCTAAGGGTATTCCAAAGACCTTCCTGACTGCCCAGAGACAAAATACCTCTTAAGGTGTTTTTCTTCTTTCCTCAGTCCAATAACTCTATCAACATCTTAATACTGGTTATGTTTATATGGACACAGTAAGAAATACATTGAGGCTTTTAGGGCAGCTCTCCTGGGAACATTTTTCCACAGACTCAGACTACAGAGCTCAGGTCAGATTAATCTTTCCTAAGCCTAACAGGGTCTGAATCTAGTTATTACTTTTTTTGTTCATGACAGCATTTGTCCATGACCAAGCTCTTAACTGATAGTTAAGCATTATGGCACTTTTGGCCAGGCCCATTTCAATGCCAGGGTAGCACATAGCTTACTGCTTGCCCTGGTTCCATCCAGTCCCTCGTTGGGACCCTACTTTGGGGGATGCTAGGAAGTAAGCACAGCTGAGGCTTAGGTCGAGAGAACAGATATCCTGGAGGAAAATATTACTGAGAGCCAATAAACTCCCACACCCACACGTTACAAAAGTGTAACATTTACTGTCTTCTGTCTATACAAAAAGGACATTGTTCCAAATATGCAAAGGACTTAACTATGGACAAAAGACTTAACAAAGGACAAACTATGCAAAGGACTTAAGGAGAATAGAAAAACAATATTTACAAGTCAACAGAGTGCAAAGAAAGAAGTTAGAAATAAACACAGAGGAATGGGAACACTGTGATGGGAGCAACCGAATAAACATAAACTACCTGAGGCTATGCAGGAAACCAATGTTATCCTACACTACAGTATCTAACATCAACCATATTAACTCAGATTTTTTTTGGAAAATTATCAATCCTCTTGTGTGATATAAGACTGTTGATATTTTCCCCAAAATATATGCAGTTAATAGATATGAAGTATTTCCAAAATAGTATCAGTACTGAAAATAGTTTTTACAATTTTTGAAGGGGTGCCATGCAGACTATGCTTAGGGCTTACTCCTGACTATGCTCACGGGTCACTCTTCTGCGATGCTCTGGGAATCATATGTCAGCTGGGATAAAACCCAGGTCAAATGGGTTTTATCCATGTAAGATAAATACCCTCCCTGCTGTACTATCTTTCTGTTGGACTGTTCTGTAAATTCTTAAACATCTGTTTTGTTTCTTAACTTTGATTTTTCTTCCTCTTGTTTGTTGGTATACTACTGCAAGCATAATCAATATTCTAATTTAAGAACTTTGGAATCAATTTTTCTTTAAATTTCCTCTTCTCTTATTTGCACATATTAACCTTCATTTTGTTTGAAAAAGCAAGTGATGTCATCATGATAATTCCATTAGATGTTGTGGCATTAAGCAGTATTGCAGAGAAGAATCAGGGAGAAGACTGGTTTTACCTTGTCACCTACAAGTGACACGGATAAGCTGGGAGACTTATTTTACTTTGTGCCTCAATATAAAAGGTTGTGGAGATTATATTAACATTTATGGTTTAAAAACAATGGTTGATGCATGATAAGCACTATAAACTCAATTACACTGTATAGGCAATAGGTCTGATTGCTTTACTTCATTGGGTATAAACTATTAACAGTAGTAGTGTATTCTCTTGAACAGCCTTTTGCTTTAGATACATTTTTTCTTGACAAGTGGTGATTAAAAGACTCCAGAAAACCACGCAAAATATAAACAGATAGTATTCTTTCTTTGATGACTAGAAAATATAAAGCAGTAATTATTCCATTAAGTTGGCATGATTTGTGTTAAGCAAGTAGTTTAGGATGAAGGAGATTTTCATTTCCATCTATAAAATTACTTAACTCTACATTAATTGTCCCATTATATCAATATAATGATATAAAAATCACACAACTAACCTTTAGTTGTTTTTCTTTGGTATTGTAGGTGAGGAGAGTCAATTATACCCACAAACCACAATCTTTTATATTTGTCCCTGAGAACTGAGAGGTTTTTCAGCGTCTAACTTATGAATCTTGAGATGGTGCTTTTTTTTTTCTTCTCCGGTTTTCTTGAACTTTCTGTCTCCAGCTTAAAATCAAGCTGACAAATCATATTTGAAACTAAGTCATCCTTATCTAAGTTGCTTTCATTTTGTTTAGACTGCTTTGCATTATTTTTGTTGGACTTGAAGCATACCCAGAGGCACTCAAGGATTCCCCAGCCTGGTGCTCTAGGGTTGATAATGGCAGCGCTTGGGGTTCGTGCATTTGCAGGGGATCAGACCCAGGACTTTTTCAATTACAAAACACCCTCCAGTGCTTTGATATATCTTTCAAATTCCTATTATTTTTAAACTTATTTTTAAATTTTAAAACTTACAAAGGGCTGGAGCGATAGCACAGCAGGTAAAGCCTTTGCCTTGCATGCGGCCAACCCGGGTTCAATTCCTCCGTCCATCTCAGAGAGCCCGACAAGCTACCAAGAGTACCCCACCTACATGGCAGAACCTGGCAAGCTGCCGGTGATGTATTAAATATACCAAAAACAGTAACAACAAGTTTCACAATGGAGATGTTACCAGTGCCTGCTTGAGCAAATCGATGAACAACCGGAAGACAGTGCTAAAGTGCTACAGTGCTACAAAGGTTTAAGGGGTCAGAGATATAGTACAAGGCTTAAGGTTTTTGCCTTACAGGCCATCAGCTTCAGTTCAATCGTCAGTTCCCCTTATGCCCTGTGGTCTCTTGAGTACCAGCAAGAGCGATCTCTGAGCACAGAGCCGGGAGAAAGCGCTGAGTACAGAGTCTAAAGTAAACTCTGAGAACACCTGTCTATTCCTACACCCAATTGTCAAAGGAATCTTTTTTCTGATTCTAAAAAACTAAATGTAGCATTCCAGAAGAGTCATCAAATGTGAATTATGCAATTTTATAACAATTTTTATTTTGTTACTTGATGAATTTGCTGCATAAAGCTTGAAAGATTTTTTTTCTGTCCAAGAATTAAAATTTTGGAAATCAAATTAGTTTTATTTTTTAATACATAAATAATAAAAAGTTTAAGAGGATAGTAAAATTGTTTACAGATCCCAGTTTCTGACTACAGTACAATTTTAATGTACTTGGAAATGATTTAAATCTAAGTTAAAGACAACTACTAGTCTGTGACACTCAGGAGAATAATAGTCTGTGACACCTCAGGACTTTAAAAGAAAAGTTAGTAGTCATGAAAAACAAAAAAATGTGTTCAAGACTATTGAAAGACAAAAATTAGCTAAGTATCAAGTGCATAACAAAAAAAGCAAGTATTATGCTTTTAAAACAAGCAAATATCTTGGATGAATGGAATTTTTCTAAAGACCACTGACATCATGCCTATCATTTACCATTTACCTGCATACTCCACTTGTTATTTAGGAGGACACAGCATTTTGTTTGCTTATTTGTTTGGGGGTCACACCCAGGAGTGCTCAGAGATAACTCTCGACTTTGCACTCAGGGATTATTCTGGTGAGGTTCAGAAGGCCATATTGGTGCTGGGAAACAAACCTAGGTCAGCCATAAATCCTCTCTCTCCAGCCTCAAGAGGACATGACACTTAAGAAAAATTATTTTAAGCTTACCTTAGCTTCAATTAATTGAGAAAAATAAGACAAACTTATAGATCATTTATCTAACTTGGAATTCCACAATTCAAATATCTGTTTTCTTACAAATATGAAAGAATACACTAGAAATAGAGTTTGGGTCTTAACTCTTAGGAATGGAATGCTTTCACAGAACTCTGTGATGGATTATGTAAAAGTATTTGAAAATACCTAAAAACTTTTAAATGTGAGCTCTGCTCTACTCCTATTTGGTCGTTTCAGTTATGTATGCTAGTCTCATCTGTACCTGTCTGGAGAGCTCTCAGGTGTTCATTAGCTAACTGAAATATTTCTCTTGAGAATCCCTCCATGACTATTTATATCTCACATTAACTGCCATTTTTGCACAGCTACCACTTGTGATGGAAGATTTTTGTTGACGGGGTCTTCGGGATCCTTCCAGGCTGATCATTATCCAAAGCCTTCTGCATCAATTGTGACTTGTCAGTGGATTATACGGTAATACATCTCTATTCCTTGCTATCATGATGTAGAATACCTCTGAGACTTTGAATCTTACCACCCCTAGTAGGTATTTATTATTTTGACAGTATTTGTGTTAGTTATGAAGCAAGGTCTTCCCAGCTCTTAACCTATTCATGTTTGATGCAGTAATTATGGGCATGGAAAAAAAGTGCAGTGCTCTGGAAAACAATTTAGAATTTCATCAAGAATTAAACATACAGGGGCTGGAGCGATAGCACAACAGGTAGGGTGTTTGCCTTGCACACGTCCTACCCGGGTTTGATCCCCAGCATCCCATATGGTCCTCTAAGCACCACCTGGAGTAATTCCTGAGTTCAGAGCCAGGAGTAACCCCTGTGCATCACCAGGCGTGACCCAAAAAGCAATAAATAAATAAATAAATAAATATACAAATATGATTTGTAAATTCAATTTGGGAACCTGAAAATATTTACAAAAATCTAAATATTTTTTAAAAACATGAGGCATATAAATGCAAGAGGGTGTTATTCACTGTCAGAAAGAAATTGTGCATCTGCAGCATTGATGATGCTTGAAGACATTCGGGTCAGGAAAATATGCCCCTCACAGAATGACAAATACTACGTGATTCCATTTTTGTAAGAAGCATCTAAAGTATTCAGACTCATAAAGACAGGAAGTAGAATGGTCATTCCCACGAGTTGGGGAGGACAAACTAGGAAATTGTATTCAGTTGGTATAGAGCGTTGATCATGCAGGTAAATATTTTCCAGAGATTAGCTGTATAGCAAAGTACTTATCATTACTGTACTGTAAACTTGAACTTTGGCTAAGAGTGCTGATTTTCTGTTTTGTAGCTTTGAAATCACTATTAAAAAATTACTTGCAAATTCCATAATGCAAGAATTGTGAAACTGCTACTATTAAAGTGATTTACTTTTTTTCTTTCAATTTAGTGTAAATCAAGGACTTTCCATTGAACTGAAATTCAATTCCTTTAATACATTCTATACTGATATATTAGAAATTTATGAAGGTGTGGGTTCAAACAGGATTTTAAGAGGTAAGTCAAAACCACTTTATATTCCATTAACAAAAATGAAAAGACACTGGATACTTCAGAGTTGCATGTTTTTCTTTGACTCTGAACTGAATATAAACTAACAATTTAAGTTGCTGAAAGGAGGGAGTTTCTCATGATAAATCTTTAGAGTTTAATACTATATGTTATTATTAATCTTCATAATATTTAAATGATTGTCAATTTACTTTATTATTATATAATTGATGTCTTAAAAGTCATGAAATTTTCCAAAGAAATATAATTATGCCTTTGTTTACTATGCTTTGCTGAACTTTTTCTCCCTACTACAGAAAATTCATGCAAACTCTAAAAACTGTTGTATTTTCTCTGACAAAAGTGTAGACGATAACAGTACAAATCACTTATACTATTTTTAGTCTGCACTTTACACAAAGTCTCTTAAAAGACTATTCTAATAAAAGTGAGCAAAACAATGACTGGAACAGAATGCAAGCATGGCAAATGGAGGGGGTGGGTGTTACTGGTATTTTATTATGTAATCATTTGTCATTATGAACACAGACATTGATAGAAAAGGGATGTACTCTTAATGTATGACCACTGGATTTTTTTATCTGATCCCCAAATTTATAAATCTATTTTGAGTAACCAACAGATATTAGTGAAATTTCTGGAAAAAGTATAGTAAGGATGAGGTTGCAGAAATAATGTCTATATAATAGCTAGTTTTCTCACTTTTTGGAGGATTTAGAATTAAATTAAGAAAAAAATTAAAATAAGATCTAAAATGATGGCTGTTATTACTTTAAACAAAAAAAATGCATTTAGTTTAAGTCCAAAGCAGAGAGACGGTGTTTGTCTTATGTACTGTCAACCCAGGTTGAATCCCCAGCATCCTATATTGTCCTTTGATCCCACCATGAGAATTCCTGAGTGAAGAGCTAGAAGTAATCCCTGTGCATAAACAGATATAGTCCAAACTCAATAAACAAAAAAGCACTGTAGACTGTAGCACTATCCTTCCATTGTTCATCGATTTGTTCCAGCGGGTTCAGCAACATCTCCATTGTGAGACTTGTTGTTACTGTGTTTGACATATTGAATACGTCACGGGTAGCTTCCCAGGCTTTGCCATGCAGGTGAGATACTCTCCGTAGCTTGCTGGGCTCTCCGAGAGGGGCGGAAGAATTGAACAGGGCTCGGCCAGGCCAGCAGCAGACAAGGCAAACGCCCTACTGTTGTGCTATCACTCCAGCCAGAATAAAAAGGCATCTGTATTAATTTTGCTTGTACGAAAAAATAAATCCTTTATAATGATTGAAATTGATAACTATTTAAATATGATCACATATGACTTTTAAAAATTGTTGTGGGAAAACATCCAGTGGTACTTAGGGACACAAGAACCTTTCTCAGTCATACTATGCAATTGTTCTTATGGTGCCTAAGATTCAATTTAGGATCTTACACTTGCAAGACATGTGTTTGGCCTCTGGAGCTATGACCATCTTTGGTTATAGTATGTGTTTCTGATTGGGAGGCATTGATATGGCTTCACTGTACAGGGTGCTTCATATTAAAATTAATTACTGTATTCACTATACCTGAGTAAAGTACATATTATGAATCTAAGTGATGTCTATGGAACTATTGTTAGAGATAGAAATAGAAACCTCAAACAGTGTGACTTTTGATGCAATATATTTGCCATTGGACTTTCAAAGTTTTAGCACAAACATGAGTATATTTAAGTTATACTATAATAAATGTGTGATTGTTAACTTGAAATACAAGAAATGGCAGTGTTATACATTTATTTTAAAGTAAATTTAAATTTTAAATGCAATATCATGTTTTCAGAATCTAACATAATGCCTCATATATTATAAAACCAAGTATTTCAAGTTAACCTAACAAACTGACATTCGGTGATATTATAATATTCAAACTCCAAGAATGTATAATATTTCTCATAACTTGAAAATGTATTGTTTGAGATAATGACGATCCTTTTTTATCTTACTTCATAGTACCATTCTTTTCAAAAATGGTTATTTTTTATCATATTGAAAATTTGTAGATATTTTAATAAAAATTATGAAAGGTAAAGTTGTGATGAGATATTGTGGGGACAAAACATATCTGGTATCAGAGAATTTCTGTATTTTTGATTAGGAATAAGTAAGAAGGTGATCATTATATAGATAAGGAGTTCAGTAGGGAGTCTTTCAAATGGTTCTGAGAGTAAAAATAAATCAGAATATTCTTTTGGATGTGGGCCAGTCTCTGTGGTGTGATATGATATCTTGTTGTTGTTTTGATCTGCATCTCCCTGATGACTGATGATGTAGAGCATTTTCTCATGTGCCTTTTTGCCATTCAGATTTCTTCTTTGAGAAAGTTTCTGTTCATTTCATCACCCGATTTTTTGATAGTGTTGGATGTTTTCTTCTTGTGGAGTTCAACCAATACCTTGTATATCCTTGATATCAACCCCTTGTTGGATGTATATTGGTGAATATCCTTTCCCATTCTGTAGACTGTCTTTGTATTTTGGTCACTGTTTCTTTGGAGGTGCAGAAGTTTTTTAGTTTCCGATAGTCCCATTTGTCTTTTTTCACTTGCTTGGCCAGTGGTGTGACATCTTTGAAGATACCATTAGCTTCAATGTCATGGAGGGTTTTGCCAACTTTGTCTTCAATGTACCTTGTGGATTCTGGTCTGATGTTGAGGTCTTTGATCCATTTCTATCTTACTTTTGTACATGGTGTTAGGCAGAGATCTGAGCCCATTTTTTTTGCATGTAGCAGTCCAATTTTTCCAGAATAATTTGTTAAAGAGGCTTTCCTTACTCCACTTCACATTTCTTGCTCCTTTATCAAAGATTAGATGATCATATGATTGATTGAGGGGAGATATCGGTATATTCAACCCTGTTCCATTGGTCTGCAGCTCTGCCTTTGTTCCAGTACCATCCTGTTTTAATTATTACTGCTTTGTAGTAGAGCTTGAAGTTAGGGAGGTTGATTCCTCCCATGTTCTTTTCACCAAGAATTGCTTTAACTATTCATGGGGACTTATTGTTCTATATGAATTTCACCTTGGATATGGAGAGAGAGGGAGCCCCCTTCACTGCTGGTGGGAATGCCGACTAGTTCAGCCCTTTTGAAAAACAGTATGGACGATCCTCAAAAAATTACAAATTGAGCTCCCATTTGACCCAGAAATACCACTCTTGGGAATATATCCCAGAGATGCTAAAAAATATAGTCGAAGTGATATCTGCACTTGTTTCTTCATGCAAGCACTGTTTACAATAGCCAGAATCTATAAAAAACCTGAGTACCCGAGAACAGATGACTGGTTAAAGAAACTTTGGCACATCTACACAATGGAGTACTATGTAGCTGTTAGAAAGGATGAAGTCATGAAATTTACGTACAAGTGGTACAACATGGAAAGTATCATGCTAAGCGAAATGTCCCTCAGAAAGAGAGGGACAGACATAGACAGATTGCATTCATCTGGGGAACATAAAGTAACAAAATAGGAGACTAACATCCAAGGATTGCTGAGATAAGTACCAGGAGGTTTACTCCATGGCTTGGAGGCCAGCCACACATGCTAGGGGAAAAGGCAGCTCAGATAGAGAAGGGAGCACCAAATAAAGGGTGTTGGGAGCATCCTTTCAAATGGAAGAAGCATGTTTAAAGTAGACTATAGAAAGAACATGATTGCCACTCAGTGCCTCTTTTGCAAACCACATCACCCAAAAGGAGAGAGAGAACAAAAGGGAATGCCCTGCCACAGAGTTAGGGTTGGATGGGGGGTGGGGGTGAAGGGTGGGAGGGATACTGAGATCTGTGGTGGTGGGAAATGGGCACTGGTGGAGGGATGGGTATTTGATCATTGTATAATTGAAACCCAAGCAAAGAAGTTTGTAATTCTACAACTGTACCTCATGGTGTTTCACTAATAGAAATTAAAAAAATATATCAGAATAGATTGACAGATAACTTAGTTCAAGTATCTTCTTTAAGATGAAATGATGAAAGTATGTTTACCTTTGAAGCTGTAATGATTACCACTGCTTAGTTGGAAGCCATAAAATATGGCAATTTTCTTTTGTTCTGTGTTCTTTATTTTTTTTCAGAAAAGTTCATAGATATGATTACCCATCTTCAGAGAAAGAAAATAAAAATGGTTTCTGTGAGCACCTTGAAATTGATTTTAAATTGTCAAATCTTGAAAAATGTTTCTAAGAGTGTACCTGTTATGATATTTTTTTATATTTCAAATGTTTAGTTCTAGGTTTACTCCTTTGTACCAAAACCACATCCCTAATAATATATTATACTATAGTGGTTTGGAACATAATTTTAAATCTACAGCAAAATAAACATGTACTATTTTTTCAAAAAAAATAATAACCATGATAGACCATCCTTAATAATAAATAATAAATCATCCTTGTAGAATAATAGAATATATGAAAATGTTTTTGAAAGAAATTTTTTTATAAAAATTTTGTGCTAATATTAGTAGTCTTAGGTAAATTAGAAGAACACTTTTATTTGCCTCTGTTGATAGCAGTATGTTATATGGAAATGGGGACCATTTTAAAGTGTTAGTTCTCTCAGAAGCTTTCAAAGTTTCCCCAGTCACAATATCTAGGAAAATTTAGGATCTGTTTCTCCTAAATACTTTGCTGCCATGGCATTTCTTCTATATAAATTAGTTTCAATTTATTAAATTATTTATTAATTTTTAAATTATTTATTAATTTTTATTCACCAGTACACATTAATAATCACGTTATAGAAAAACCTGGCTACTTATTTTTTGTGTCATCAGCACTTAGCACCATTATACATTAATGGTGTAAGTGCTCAATAAAATCTGTTCAATGCATTAGAAATGCTTTCAGCATGCAAGAATTATACTCTAGGTTCTTGAGCAATATTACAGAGGGTGGGACACATACCTTGTATATAGTTGATTCAGGTTCCAACTCTAGGACCCTATGTGATCCCCAGCAGACACCAGGAGTGATCCCTGAGAGCAGAGTCAGGAGTAAACATTGAGCACTGCTAAGTAAGACCCAAACCCCAGGCCCCAACCAATGAATACTCTAAGGACAGAACTTTTTTATTTTATGAATTTGATAAAATAAAGTTTTAGATAAATTTCTTGAGTCTTACTCTATAGATAATCTGTCATTCTTGCTTATCGCCCTCCTTCCAAATATGCCTGCATTTTAATTATGTTCTCCTGTTTACCTCTCTCACAAAATATATATTACTTTGATTTAAGTAGACAAGATATGAGTTGACTCACATCAAAGTATGATATACTGGTAATTTTTTAATTCAACATTAGTATAATTCTTAGCTTTTCTAAAACTTTATTTTCTTAAGAAATTATTGTCTAAAGCAGATTATATCCATTTCAGATGTATCCAATTGTTTAAAATTATTAAGCATTTTTTCTCTTAACTCAAGGGCCAAATATTTTATTTAGACAGTTATTCAATACTGTAAAAAACTATGCACGCAGAAGGTTGTGTGTTCTCGGGCTCTCTGGACGGCTCTATCTCACCGCCCGTGTTCGGTGCCCTAGAGCCTCTGTGTGTGGCCTGCATCGGGACGGCTGTTGGCCAAGGGCAGATGAAGGAAGAGACGAGGGCCAGGCCGGTTGATTTTAGTGGCAGTTTATTACAAGGAAGTTTATCCCATAGAAGAACTTATGTTGTGGAGGGCCTAGGTTCTCTCAAGCACATGTTCCCCTTGCTAGTCTCTCGGTAGTCCATCTTTCAGCCCTGCTCTCTCCTTCTCCAGCTCCCTTCTAGTCTGGCCTGACACTCCTCCCAGTCAGGTAGCCAAATCAACATAAGAAAGCCCTTCCTGACTGCTCAAGGGCAAGATACCTCTTAAGGTGTTTTTCTCTTTTCCTCAGTCCAATAAACTATCAACTATTTCTGAGGTTATGCAGGAAGGACAGAACAGTGTTATCCTACAAATACAAGTACATGCTAATTTCTGGACACAAGTATTGGTCAAAAGATTCCCATGTCTTGGCAATAAAAGCAAAGTCACAGAATCATTTAAAACATTTTCTGCATTTTAATTTATAGTCCAGTTGGGGATATAAAAAACCAATAGCTAAAATCCTTCAAACATTTGTTATAAACCACTAAGTGTGGCACATGGACATTATTTATTTTAGCAAATATTTTGAGAAATTATTACATTTCTACAACAAAGGAAACAACTGAGGCACCAAGAAGTTTCTAAGACATGAATACAGTATTATATCTCACACTGTTTCTCTGATCTTAGTTGTGACTCTTTAGAACCTTTCTAGATATATAACACACAGAGAAAAAAGTGGCAAAAAATTTAAAGATTGTGTCGAATTAGACTTTCAGTCATTTGGCATTATTTTGGGGTTCTAGAATTATATCAGTAGACAGCCAATGAAAAACTCTTGTATTATTGTGAAAAAATTAAGCCTAATAGCAATTTTTTTAATTTGTATGTTTCTTAGAGTAACTTTTTCAGTAAAGAATATATATTTTCCCTTCATGTGTCTGTAGAGTACATAACAAATAATTAAAAATAAATATGTACATAAACCAGAAATATATAAAATAATAACATTTCGGGCTAGAGTGATAGCACAGCAGGTAGAGCATTTGCCTCGCATGTGGTCGACATGGCTGACCCAAGTTCAATTCCTCCCCCCCTCTCGGAGTGCCTGGCAAGCTACCAAGAGTATCCTGCCCGCATGGCAAAGCCTGGCAAGCTACTGAGAGTATCTCACCCGCATGGTAAAGCCTGGCAAGCTACCCGTGATGTATTTGATATGCTAAACACAGTAACAACAAGTCTCAAAATGGAGATGTTATTGGGTCCACTCCTGCAAACTGATGAACAACGGGCAAACAGTGACAGTGACAATAACATCTTGAAAACTTATAACAGTAATTTTATTAGTCATGCTAGGGCTACTTCCTTTAGATTAATTAGTTTCAAAATCTGAATGATCAGTAGGTTGATAGATGGATGGATAGATGAAGACATCAATAGATGAACAGAGAAAGATGTACTTTATGATGGTTTTTAATTTTTATTTTGTAGCTTCTCTCTCAGAAAGGAATCCTGGCACAATTAGGATCTTTTCCAACCAAGCAACCGCCTCCTTTTTTATACAATCTGATGAAAATGACTATGTTGGGTTTAATGCAACATACACTGCTTTTGACAGTAGAGCTCTTAGTAGTAAGTATTTCTTATTATTTAGGATTTGGGTCCTCAGATTATTTAAATTGATTATAGAATTTTAAAATTAGTTGGAGAAAAAAAGAAAAAAAAGCTCTTGGGGGTGGGAGCGCGAGCTATGGCCACACTTGTAGTGCTCAGAGGTTATTTAAGTGGCTCTCTGCTCAGGGATCATTCCCAGCAGAGTTCAGGGGACCCTATGGATTGCCTGGGATAAAAACATGTGAAGCTTAGTGCTTTCGCTGTAGTACCATCTCTGTGGATCCTTAAATCTTTAACAAAAATCTGTTAATTTTGCCTTTTTCCTTTCAAACGAAACAAAGAAATCATTTTCTAATTGGATTCTTTTGATGCTCTTCAAAGAACAGACAAATTGAAAAAACATTACAAATCAGCATAAAATGAATTAAAATTTTATATTAAACAAGAATTTAAAGTAAAAAATAGCATAAAATTAATTTAAGGTGGTTCATATCAACTTAGTTTTTATCAGAATATTAAATTTAGCAAGAAGTGAAGAAAAAAATATAGAGGTGAACCAACAGAGGCAAAACAGAGAAATAACAAGAAACCTGTCTTGCAAAAGCCATAATAGGGTATAAGAAACATTAATTTAACTAAATCAGAAATATCATCCTGTTTTTTTTATTTAAACAGAATGAGATAGTTAAATAGTAATTGTTTCTGTTAATATTTCTTAATTATAATCTATAAAATGTCTTTATTTTTAATATAATTTATTACAGCAAATCTATACTGGAGATTCAGTTTGAAGTGTTCTTTTCTTTTTTCTTTTTGAATTACAGACTATGAGAAAATTAATTGTAATTTTGAAGATGGCTTTTGTTTCTGGATCCAGGATCTAAACGATGATAATGAGTGGGAAAGAATCCAGGGACACACCTTTCCTCCTTTAACTGGACCAAATTTTGACCATACTTTTGGCAATATTTCAGGTATAATTCATATTTAATTTGTTAATCAAAGAGAGTGCTATGTACTTTAAATACTCTGCAATTTAAAAAAAGAAGTGTGAAGCATAGAATGGTCTCTTCATAGTTCCTTTTTAAAAAGCTTATGGGCTAAACTTGTCTCAAATGAGCACATATAAACAAGTGTATACTATGTGTTTACCAGATATTAAATTGAGACAATTAGAGAAAAATAGACTTAGTGCTACACCACTTCTTAACTAGTTTGACTTGTGTAAGATAATTAAACTTTTAGAATTTTGTACATTTTTCCCTAGTTCACAATTTTATTGCTCATTTCTAGTGCACAGATATATGAATGATTTTTATAAAAATATTTCCTCTTTTCCTCTAAATAATTTATTTTTTATTTTTTTCAGACATCAATTTGTTTCACTGACTTTTTAATTTTATTAAATTATCATAAATTATAAAGTTACAAAGTTATTCAGGATTTTTTCACGTGTACAATATTTTAAGACCAATCTCTCATCAGTGTCCCCAGTTTCCTTCCTGCCCACAACCTACCTCTCTGACAGGCACTTTTATCTTTTAATTGATTGTTTTTTAAGGGTTTTTTAGTTATTTATTTTCTAACCATAATTAAAATAATTTGGCAATTGTCTTTCACTTACTGGCTGATTGACTTCAAATTATCACATAAATTCCATTTTACTGAGGAAAGCACAATTTTATCCTTTATAATAATAGGTAGTATGCCTCTGAATGTAATTTCTTCATTCAGTCATTCTCCAATAGGCAGTTAAGTTGATTTTATATTTTGATTATTGTGAATAATGCTGCTGTGACATAGGGATGCTCATATTCTTTTGAATTCATAAATTACATGTTTCAGATAAATGCACATGGGTTGTTTTTTTTTGGGGGGTGGGGGATAATATTGTAGCTCCACTTTTAGTTAGTTGGGGTTTTTGTTTATTTTAAAATTTGCATTTTGTGCCACACCAAGCTTTTTTCTGCTCAGGATAATCTCTGGAAAACTCAGGAGACCACAAGAAATGGCGGGGAATAAACTTCGATTAGCTATGTGTAAAGCAAGTACCTTGCCCACTGTAATACCTTTTCAGCCATTTTTAGTTTGTGAAGGTACTTTGATCCTGTTTTCCTTAGTCTCCACCAAGTTACATTCCAAATGGCATGTACAAGTGTTTCTTTTGTAATATTTGTTGTTCACTGCCATTTTTAAATAGATTGTTGGAACAATTTTCATTGTTCCAACAATCAATTTGCTTGAGCGGGCACCAGTAGCATCTCCATTGTGAGACTTGTTACTGTTTTTAGCACATTTAATACGTCACAGGTAGCTTGGCAGGCTGTGCGGTGCGGGTGGGATACTCTTGGTAGCTTGCCAGGCTCTCCGAGAGGAAAGGAAGAATCAAACCCAGGTCAACTGCGTGTAAGGCAAATGTCCTACTCACTGTGCTATAGCCTGTTCCAACAATCAGAAAAAATTAACAATATTTATATGCCTATTATTTCTCTGTAATGAAGAAGTGTCTATTTAGGTCCTTTTTCAATTTTGTGATTTAATTTGTCTTTGCTGTTGAACCGTGTGAGTGTATTATATATTTTTAGATATGAACTCTTATCAGATGCATGATAGATAAATATCTGCTTCCAATTAGTTGGTTATCCTTTTGTTGATATGGTAGTTTATTTTGCCTTAAATTGTTTTAATTTGTTGTCAGCCCCTTTCTTTATTTGTTTATTTATTATTTATGTGATCCTTGCCATTAGAACTTGAGTTGACAAATATAGCACTAAAGTCTAATTCCTAGAAAACACCTTCTATGCATTCTTCCATGAATTTTATGGCTGAATATATATACATATATATGCTATATATACATATATGTATATATGTGTGAGTTTAAGTGTGTATAAACATTCACATATATGTACTAATCTACTTGAGACAATTTTTTTTGTGTGGTACAAAAAGTACTATTTTTGCATTTGGCTTCCAAGTTTTCCCAATAACTCTGCAAATTAAAATTTGATTGTAAGTTTGTTTGATTAGAAAATCAATACTTTGATCAAAGCTTAAATAAATTTTTACATATATATTACTTCATAGAGAAGGTGCTAAAAATGATCAAAATCTATAAAGTGAGAATGTCTGATTGATTTAAAGAGAGGCCAGTCCAAAGAAAGTAGAGAAAATAAGGGTACTATAGTTCACTATACTATAATGAATTTTCTATGAATTTCACTTTTTTTGTCAATTAAAAGAGACATTGGATGTTCTTGAGGATATCACTGATAGAATTATCACTTATTTGAAGAATATAGTTTGAAGGGCTAGAATTTTATCAAGAATACAGCTTAAAATTCTATTGTCTAAACAATGGATGGAAATGATGGTTTTGGACAGAACTGAGTGTTGAAAGTGGGTAAAGGGATATACGTGGTAACTTTTAAGTGTCTGTACTGCAAAATAGATGGCTCCAATGAAAATAGAGAGAGAGGAGGGGAGAGAGAAAGAGAGAGAGAGAGAGAGAGAGAGATAGGAAAAGAGCCTGCCATAGAGGCAGGCAAGGTAGTTGGGGAGGGAAACTGAGAAACTAGGGACATTGGTAGGTGGAATGTAACCAGTGAAAGGATGAGTGTTGGAATATTACATGACTAAAACCCAATCATGAAAAACTTTGTAACATGTATCTCACAGTTAAAATTAAAATTAAAAAATAAATAAGTAATTTAAAAGTTAAGAAAAAAATAATTTATTGTCTAATCAGAGAAGTGCTCAGGGGAGTTTTTTTAAGTTTACAGAGCAGATTGAATTAGAAATGAGATTCTGAATACAGTATTAAAATAAATCAATAGGATCCTTTTAAATTAGTTACCAGAGTAGATTTACAGACAAAATAATAGTAAAATACTTTGCTTAGATGGTCAATCCCAAAAGACAAAAAAAATTAGCATTGAAAATATGACATGCATACTCTCAAATGTCACTCATTTTGGTTGAATAGGTAATTTCCCAAGGCTGATTCTCTATGGATATATGAATAATCTGTACAGCTGAAAACTAACACTTTAGTGATAATCATAAAGTCCTCTAAAAAAGTTCGCCTAAAATAGTGACATAATTTGACCACTTTTTTCCCCTTTGCTATAATAAAAAATAATGTCTTTATCATACTTGGATAAGAGTAGTTAGAGGAAAGTGTAGAAAGCATTTATATCTATTGACGATGACAGATACCTTTTATGTAGTTGAAATCTTTGATGTTCAAATTATCATTTTTTTTCTACTTTCATGTCATCATTGTCAGACATAAAATAATTCCACTGATGTTTGAAGAATATAAGCACATTACAGGTGAAAAATAGTTTTCTGCTAGCCAACAGATTTAATAATTAAAGAAAGAAGTTGAAACTGACCAAAGTAAAGCAGGTTGAATGTCAGGTGGAGGTTTTAAATAGTTGGGCCCGGAAATGGAGTCTCGGGAGAAAGTTGTGTAGCAGGAGTTATTTAAAATTAGACAAGTCAGAGCAGTTCAGAGCCCACCAGGGACAGCAGGGTAATGAGAACGGGTGATAAGACTTAATAGGTCTTCCTCAACTCTCATACTGATAATTTCATAATCTACCAGTCATCTACCTCTCCAGGGGCATTTTACTTCCAACTGGCTTTTTCATGTGTCAGAGCATCCAACCTATGAAATGGAAGAGAATTAAATCCCTCCTGCTGTTCCTCTTATCCATAGAGGGCTTTTTTTGTTCTTCACTTTCACTGTAAATGACAAGAAAATCTAAATGAAACAGATAAACTTTGAATTAACATCACCTTGGAAAATATCTAAGCCCTGTAACTTTTTTGAGTCCTTCTGAAGGACTCTCCTGGTAGAGCAGAAGCTCTGACACCTCTGCACTGTGTATGCTTTGGAGTTTCTCTGTACCTGTTAGCAGCAAAAATTGGTGAAAACAGAGCCATTGATGCTGGAGAGCATCTTAGGAGGCTTAGAAGTGGTCCATTTGTTCAGAACTTTCCGGCAAAATGAGGTTAGTAACATGTGAGAACTTCAGAAATGTTGGGGTCACAAAAGGGTAGGAGAGTGCAAAGAAACTTTTTTCTTTGTTGGCCATTTCCAATAAAATCATAATGGTTTTTAACACTTGGGGGTTAGCTTAGTATAGTAGTAAGGATCATTAAAATATGTACACTAAAGTCTTAACTAGGTTTAAATATGAACCCTGCCGTTGGAAAAGATTTATACCCTTTCTCTCTCCTCTCTCTCTTCACTCCCTCCCTCTCTTTCTCTCTGCCTTTGTTTAATGTCTCTCTCTCCCTCCTTCCCTCTCTCTCTCTCTTTCTCTCTCCCCCAATCTCCTCATATGAAAAGTAAATGATAATTGAACCTGACTTTAGAATTCTTTATGAACATAAAATGAATTATGATTTTCAGAGGGGGTAGAGACTAGAAAATGTGTGCACTTGGAAATTGTTATAAAAATGTTATAGCTATTTTCTTTTCAGACAACAAATGTATTCAGTACAAGCAAATTGGTGTAGCACAGTTCTGAAGAGTATGCTTGAGAAGAAAATAGTTTTATTGCTCAATTTACAAGAGTATAATTAAGTATTTTAGATACCTGCATTTAATATACACTTCTCTAAAAGAAGTGTAAAGTCAGTGTTTTCAAAGTAGTGTTATCTTCATTTCTGGTTGCTTTTTTTCCTGGTAATGTTGAACTTTAGAAAATCACATTACTCATGCTGTTATACTAGCTGAGTTCAGACCATATTTTCCTCTAAAATTTTCAACAATTTTCTACACAAAAGAGATAAATATGTGATTAAATTAACAAATTTTATCCAATTTTCTGAGTTTTGCGCTAAAGTTAATTTCAAGTTTTCAAAGATGTTTCAAGAAAATTGGAAGATCTTTTTAAAACCATGAATTCACCATATAAATGTCCATATGGTTATGGGAATATAATTTTTGTAGTATTTCAATAGGTTCCAAAATGATAAAAATAAATAAAATTAGTGCAGTATGCATATATAAAACAAAATACTGTTAATACAAGGAATTAAAAACTGAAACTTCATAGTCAAAGTCGAAAACTAAAATTTACATCGTGCATGTGAAAGCAGTATATGCTAATTAGCATAGGAGGCGATTGTATACCACCAAAAATTCACAGAAAGGAGTGGTCACTTCAAATTGTAAGAACTGATAATCTTTCTGAAGGAGATGGCAATTTTATTTCACTTACCTTAAATATTAGTAAACTTTAGACAGATACAACTGTAAAACTTAAAAAAAGAAAAACCCAACAGTTATCACATGCCTCTAAGCTAAAAATTGATAATGGGTAGATAGAAGCAAAACTCTTTAGGAGCCCGTGGTACTAGGATCTTCTAAAATGAAACCCTGATATTAAAATTTTTGCAAAGTACACGGTACCTGAAGTAAAATGAGAGTAATTTCTGGAATTATTTTATGTAATTTAATGAATTATAAGAAGTATGATTTGAAAGTTATTCTGAATCGAAGAGATGGAACACGACATTAGGCGATTGCCTTGAACTCAGCCAAACTGGGTTTAATCCCTGGTACAAAATGTGGTATCCAACACACCTCCAACAGTTACCCTGGAGCACAGAGCCAAGAGTAAGCACTGAGAGGCAGAAAGAGAGAAAAAGAGAAAAAGAAACAGCAAGGAAGGAAGGAAGGATGAAAGGAAAGAAGGAAGGATGGTAAGAATAAAGAAAGGAAGGAAAAATAAAGAAAATTGTACTGAAATTTGGAGGTCTCAAACATCAGATTGTGTACATGCTTCACTGTGAAATAAGAACATACTAAACTGTGCTAAGTAAGGGGCCATTTAGATCACATATGAAGAAACATTACCGTGCAATGATGTATGAAAATTTATTATAGAGGATCAAAAAACTACAAATGAGAGAGTACTGGAAATAGTGACAATGATGCTCTAACTTAAATCATATTGATGTTTTATGTATATTTTAGTTTCACTAATTTTAATACTCATATTTGTAAAATTTTTCCTTACATTTAATTGTTCATAAGAAAATGTTAGGCATCACAGAAATAGTTTATTATAATATAAAATATTTAATGCAGCATATTATTTTCTGTATTCCATGACAGGCTATTTTACATAAATTTAAAAATATTTTGAAATTGTACTCATGCAAATTTCAGTAGGTACGAGTCACTACACATTTTATATTTTTTGTGGAAAATAATGGAAAGCTAATGATTATATCTTGATTGAATAAATAAATTCAAAAGTATTACTGCATACTGAGCATGTTATAAATTTAAACCATTCCAGATTATAACAACTATAAATTTGCCCAAAGATTAATAGGAACATAGCAGATATTTATATAATTGAAGATAGCTAGACATATTCTACATTAGTCTAGCTATTTCAATATTATTCAGGGGAGTCAATGTCATTTTAACAATTCTTCCCTATCTAAAAAGTAAAGTCAATTCAAAAAGTACTTTAATTAGGATATTTCAAAGTGAAATCTCAAGCTTTTCATCTAAACCAATCTCTAAATAGGTTTAATAATAACATTATAGAGCTGAAATAGCAATTAACACTTTAAATATTATATGTACTTAGAAAATATTAAATATGTATTTCTTTCTATTTTATGCTTTGTAATCTAAATCTAATGAATATTTTTCTTTTACTATATAATCCTTATGTACATAATTTATTCTGAATAATTTCTTTTACTGATCTAAAGTTTGTTTGCTCTATCTTTGAAAATTCTTCTAGTATTTGTGTTATATTCTATTCTTAAATGTATCTTACAAATGCATGATTTAGTATTTTATAACTAATATTTTTAATAAAAGTTTATGTTGGAAAACATAGGAAAAGATATTTGATGCCAAACAAATAATAGATTTTAATATTTCATAAATATTTCATAAGTATTCATAAATACTTCCAATAAGGCCTGATTTATACAATATTTAATTCATGTAATTATTGTCATATTTAAATAATTTATTTTTCCTTTTATAATCTATGTTTGGAAAAATAAGAATAAAAACAATAAAATCTCCTGAGAAAATATTCAAATGTCCTCAATCCTGCAATCTTTCCACACTTCGAATTATTCAAATCATTGGTTGGAATAATGAATAATAGACCTGAAAGCCTTTATGTAGTAACCTGAGCCATTTAGAAAGCTTTTATATGGATTAGCATAATTTCTGCTCCTCTATGAGCAGATCAGTTATCTTTCAAAGGAATCTTTAAGATAAAAATCATAAAATCTGGTAACTCCTGATTTAGAGGTATGCGGTATAGTCAGTGTAATTTTTTTTTAAAAAAAGGCTGGCCTTTGAAACTCGTAATTTTACTTTAAATTTATATTTAAATACTGCATACATCACTAGTTACCATACAAGCATTTCTGAATACCTTCATTATAAACTTTCTCTAAACAAGCAAATTAATCAAAGCATCTAATAAATTTAAATTTAAGGAGTATTTGGGAATAAAAACTCGACTAGTAGATAATGCAAACTTAATCTTAATAGTCTTCCAGTTCAAGATTCTTTGTTTGTACAGAGACCAGAGTTAGAAGTGATTTTCATCAATAACTATTTACAACAGCAGGGTCATTATCTTCTGGATTTGAGTCTACTCTCCTTTCCATTTTACCTAGATACATTTATTTTATTCTTTTAATCCTTCATTCTTCAGACCATTCTTTTCTACTTATGAGTGATATAACTCAAATGAGAAAAATGTGAATATTTTACATCATTTGTAAATGAAATAAAACTTTTCTTTTTCTGTTTCAGGATATTACATTTCCACCCCAACTGGCCCAGGAGGGAGACGAGAAAGAGTGGGACTTCTAAGTCTCCCTTTAGACCCCACTTTAGAGCCAGTCTGCCTCAGTTTTTGGTATGATGTAGATGATGTTTCTCAATCTGTTTCCAATATGGCGCTCCTCCAACATTATTTATTTCCCGTACATACGATCATACCATTTGACTTTCGAGTTTCATGCCAGGGTCCTCCTTTTATATAATTTTCACCTTTGGCCTCATGTATTATTCTGTAAGCCCATAGAGAGCCAATGGTTCCTAGTTGAAATGGTATTATAGATGTGTGCTATATTGTGAACTATATCATAAGCAACATTGTTTTTCTCATGATGTCATACACAGATTTCACTAAGCAGATATCCCAAATTTCAATGCAGTTATCACAGATTTTCCATTTAATAAAGTAGCAAAGTTCTGGGAGATTTCCTCACCTTTATTAATTTCCTTATGCAAGATAAAGAGCTATTTAAAAAACATTAACAGATACAAAAAACCTTGTATTGTACTTTACTTGCAGGCTGTCGAATGTAGCCTGCCCACAGGGCAGAGTCTGGCAAACTCCCCGTGGCCTACCAAATATGCCAAATACCAGTAACAATGATGGGTCTCATTCTCCTAAAGAGCCCTGAATATAATCTCAGGGCTAGGATGAAAGAGACGTTACTGGGGCCTGCTCGAGGCAATCGACGATTAACAGGATGATGAAAAAAAATGAAATGTACTTTACAAATGTTATAAGAATCCAATCACTTTTGCTTATTTTTAAACTAGGTATTATATGTATGGTAACAATGTCTATAAATTAAGCATAAATATCAGCAATGACCAAAACGTGGAGAAGACTATTTTTCAAAAGGAAGGAAATTATGGAGAAAATTGGAATTATGGACAAGTAACATTAAATGAAATAGTGGAATTTAAGGTTGGCAAACTATTTTATAATTTATAACCTTATATTTAGATTCCAAAACTGGTGCTAGAATTCTTTCTTATGGATTATGGTAAAAATATTTTTGAGTAGTTCCAAGTTGCTTTTGAATATAACTTCTTTTTAATATCATTTTTATTTATTTATTGGCCTATTAAAATAACTTATTGAGAAATAAGAAAATTGAAATTTATGAAATTGGTTCTTATAAGGAGTCATACAATTCACAGAAATCCTGTGGTATATTGCCAATTTCTTTAGCAACTTTCCAACACAAGCTATTACTTGGGCATCCAGTTTTTACAAATCCCATTCATGTCATCTTTAAACTTTTCTAAGTAATCATCCTTTTTGATTAGAACATCCATACCTATTGGTACTCACTCCACCCTTTTCCATTCTGATTGAATCTCCATATGTTTCCTTTGAAAAAATATCCTATGAGCTGTATCATTAGAAAGTCTCTGGCAATTTATTTCACATTAGAGTGAATAAATTTTTCAGATGACAGCTTAATGTATTCTTTTCCTAAGGGTGTTCTCAATTAAAATATAGTCTAATACAGCCTAATAGTTTAACCAAATTAACATGGTTTAATTGGGTAACTTTAGAAGAGAATATTGACTTTCAGAAGATGTTTAATTAGGCAGACATTTCCATTGGTGAAAGCCTTGTGTCTTTCCTGTGACTTGGTCTAAGGCAGATCATAGTCAATGGCCCTGTCTATATTCTTCCAGTATTTCTTTCTTTCCTTCATTTGCTCTTCATTCCTTCCTTACATGAATCTTTCCTGTGATGTTTTCTTCTTCCTCTTTTTCTTATTATTCAAGAAGGATTTATAATGGAACATCAAAGAAATAAAGAGACAACAAAATGGAAAAAATTGGTATTATAGTGTCCAAATCTAACTTAACTCACTCCACATTTTGTTAGTCATATAACAGAGTTGATTTCTTCAGTTATCAGTCGTGAATAGTGATGAGAATTTACAAATATTGATATCTTGACTTTGTCACCCAGTTGTAAAAACTTGAACAAATCATTTTATTGTCTGAAATTAAGCTTGCACATATATTAAAGAGAAAATTCATCATTATTGGAAATAGTATTTATCAAAAAGTAGGTGAGTGATGGTTATATCATACTGCTAAATAAATGAAATGAGATGACATATGTAATGTGTCTAGCAGAGCAGTTATCATGTGTAAGATATCCTGTTTGTATATCTCTTAACCTACATAGAAGTGACAAAAAGTCAAACTAAAGCTACTCATTAAGAACTTAGTATATTTTATGTGACCAATGGTTCTGTCACACAAATGCCTAGGTCTGTGTCCTCTGGGAATAAACCTCATATGTTAATCCTGAATTAGCTTATTATACTCACATTTTCTATTCTCTCCGATTCTTCCATTTAAATTATCCAGACAGTGGTCTTCAGGTGTCTACACTCTAATAATGCAGACAGCCACATGCATTTCTCATACAATTGGAGGAGAAAGCTGGAAGAAATTGTCTCTCTCCTCCAGATGGGATGTATGTGAGACAGAATACAATTAAGCATGACATAAAAGGGAGAGTCAGAGAAAAATTGTGGAAATAATGCCAGCCACAAAAGGAAAAACACAAGTAAATATTTGGACTAATACAGACACATAAGACTCAGCAGGAAACTTATAGAGGCATGCTTCATCAGCAATTCCCTATGTAGTAACTTGTCCTCATATATTTAGAGATGGCAAGCCTTGTTTTCCAGAGAATACTGTGCCACAAAAAGAATTACGCCACAGGAGATTAAAGTGGGATGATTTCATATACCTTTTCAATTTTCAGGTTGCTTTTAATGGTTTTAAAAACCAACTTCTGAGTGATATAGCACTGGATGACATTAGCCTAACACAGGGGATTTGCAAAAAGAGTCCCTATCCAGACCCAACTTTGGTCCCAACTTCTCCACCAGAACTTCCTAGTAAGTAACTGTAACATTCATTTTCCTAATTAAGTAATCAATGTTATTTTTTTATTATATCGGCTTCCTATTTTTTTGCTGAAAACTAAGATTCTAAAATATAACAAAATGGACCATAGTAAATATGTTATTAAAATATATAATGAGGGGATGGAGCAATAGCACAGTGGGTAGGGGGTTTGTCTTTTTACCCGGCCGACCCGGGTTCGATTCCCAGCATTTCATATGGTCCCCTGAGCACCACCAGGGGTAATTCCTGAGTGCAGAGCCAGGAGTAACCCCTGTGCATCACTGGGTGTGACCAAAAAAGCAAAAAAATAAAAAATAATAAAATAAAATACATAATTTGAAAGGATTTAACACTTTTTAAGCATTATATTTATCACTGTAATAAATTTATTATAATGTTTGAAAATAATGAAGATAGTATATCTTTTCTTTTTCATTTTCGAATACAAACTAATTTTGAAATGACCATGTGGCTAATGCATTTACTTTACCTTATGGCTTTTTTGTTTATTTTGGTTTATTTTGTGGCCACACCCCACTGTGCTCAAGACTTATTTCTGTCTCTGTATTCAGGAATTAGTTCTGGAAGATTCATGAGATCATATGGGGTGCCCGGGAGTTGAACCTGGGTTGATTTCATACAAGGCAAGAGCCATGTCCACTCTATATCTCTACAGCAGAAAACAATTATTTTGGGATGAGGGGAGGTAAAACAAAGACCCTAACATTTTCATACCCTTCTTAGAATGCTATTAAAAACTCAAGTTAAATGATTTATCTTGAACCCTTCATGCTTATTTTCAAATATTGTAATGCTAATGATTAGGTCTGAACTTTGTACATACCACATAGTCTTAGATTATAGAAATTTATTATATGATGTCTTGATAAAGCTTGGTGTCCTTACTTACTGGAGACACTAAAGTGTTGCAGCCATAAAAATAGCCAGGATTTCTGTTGTTTTTTAAGATCTTCTAATTACACACACACACACACACACACACACACACACACACCAGTTAGTCTTTAGAATATTGTCGTCACAGCTGTGATAGTCATTGTCCAAGCTCCTGAGAGCCACTACTCTCTGCACTGTCCTCCCATTGTTCATCGATTTGCTCGAGAGGACCCAGTAATGTCTCCATTGTGAGACTCATTGTTACTGTGTTTGACATATTGAATACATCACGGGTAGCTTGCCAGACTCTGCTGTGCAGGCAGCACTCTCTCCATAGTTTCCCGGGCTCTCCCAGAGAGGAGAAATAGAACCCAGGTCTGCCGCGTGCAAGGCAAATGCCCTACCCACTGTGCTATTGCTCCCTGTGCTTGTAGTCCCAGCTACTCTGGAGGCTGAGGACGGAGGATGGCTTGAGTCCAGGAGTTCTGGATTGTAATGCGCTATGCCCATCCGGTGTCCGCATTAAGTTCAGCATCAATATGGTGAGCCTCCGGGAGCAGAGGACCACCAGGTTGCCTAAGGAGGGGTGAACTGGCCCAGGTAGGAAAAGGAGCAGGTCAAAACTCACATATATCTCTATCTCTATCTATCGATCGATCTATCGATAGATCGATAGATAGAGATAGAGATATATAAAACCTATCTACCTGTGTTTTAGTTCTATTTGGAAACAAAATTTCAGAAGCCAAATAGACGTTATCATCCATCTTATTATGTCATAGGAGACAATCACTCCATACCACTTTTATATTATAGGGTGAGAGAAAATATGGTGATGACAGATTATAATAATATAATAATGGTAAATTCTATCAACTGTATATTGTTTATTTACCTCATTGTAACTTTTATTAAAAGGCATGTCCTGTGTGTTTGGATTATGCTTATTGGATGCTGATTAAGCTCTACAGCTTTGCTTATACTGAACACATGAATATTTTTATTTAGTTATATTCCCAAGCCCACAAACACAGAATTATTTTCACTCCCATTTTCTCTTAAGCAAATTTGAAATTCTTCCCATGTTCACATCAGCAAGTCAATTCGGTGAGTCTATCCAAATTTTACTTTTACTCTAAAACTGTATTTTCTTGGTTTTAAATTTTGGTTTTAAAATCTGCAGAATTGACAACTCACAATCACAATCACAACCATCCTGTTATTTGTCGATTGCCTCGAGCAGCCCCCAGTAACTTCTCTTCATCCTAGCCCTGAGATTTTTTTAAAAAAAGTGCCATATTCAAGGCTCTTTCAGAGTTAGGACAATGAGATCCTTCATTGTTACTGGTATTTGGCATATTAAGTACGCCACGGGGAGTTTGCCAGACTCTGCCCTGTGGGCAGGTTACATTTGGTAGCTTGCCAGTTTGTCCAAAGTAGGAATGAGATGATAAGATGTCGTGCGGCCGCATTAGCGGCCGCGCACTTCGGGAGCTGCGTTTTATATTCTCTGAATCTTGGCCGTTGATGAGATTACACAGCGCCAGGGGGCCAGTTGGTGGGTGTGACCCCCGCCTACTGGAATGTGGAGGATCTGGGTGGAGGATGCTCAGCCCCAATTTGAGTAGGCTTGGAAATCTCGGCCCCGGAACCCAAGTGTCTTTGTCCCTCTGCCGGTACCTTCATGTGTGCGGAGAGTGGTCTCAGCATGGTGGTGGCTGATTCTGGAGGTCTTCAGCTGCCGGAACCCTGGTCGGGGCGGGGAGGAAGACTCAACCCATTCCCCTCCAAGGGGCCCTGGCGAGGACAGCCAGGCGTGGGGGCAGGAGACTCTGCGCTGTTCTCTTCCGGGAGCTGCGTTTTATATTCTCTGAATCTTGGCCGTTGATGAGATTACACAGCTCCAGGGGGCCAGTTGGTTGGTGTGACCCCCTGCCTACTGGAATTTGGAGGATCTGGGTGGAGGATGTTCAACTCAAAAGCACTAAAACAAATACTAGTGTTTGATAATGTAGAAAATGTTAATATTTTACATATGTGCTGTATGATGAGTATAGCATTTACATTGTCATAATAGTTCCATAGAGCTGGAGTGATAGCACAGTGGGGTAGGGTGCTTGCCGTCCATGCAGCCAAGCTGGGCCAACCTTGGTTTGATTTCTCCATCCCTCTCAGAGAGCCCGGCAAGCTACCAAGAGTAATGAGCCCACACAGCAAAACCTGGAAAGCTCCCCGTGACGTATTCGATATGCCAAACACAGTAACAAGAAGTCTCACAATGTTGACGTTACTGGTGCCCGCTGGAGCAAATTGATGAACGATGGGAGGACAGTGTTATACAGTGCTATAATAGTTCCATAAAACCATATTGGAAGTAGTCTTACATACCACTCAAGGGCTAATTTATCTTTTGTATTTACATGTTAGATATTGTTATGTAATACAGATAATTCTTAACATTTTGAAAATTCACTCAAATGTTTTAGATACCCACTATATGTAAAGCACTGCATAAAAAAGTGAGATGTAGAAAGAGCAAATCCTATTAAACTAGTTTATATAAATAAATATTAAAAGCAATTGTGTGCCCTTAGAAGTATAAAGATATCAGAAAAGAATTTGAAAAGATTGTGAAAAGATTGTGAACTGATGATACCAAGGAAACATTACGATGAAAAGATTTACTGGAGAGATAATGCCGAGGTAATTATCTCCTTTCATACAGTAGGTCAGGTTTGATCTCTAGCAAGGCACATGATTTCCTAATACCACACCACCAGGAATAATCCTTGATCACAGAGTCAGGAGTAATCCCTGTCCAGTGTGCCCTCCCATTGGGAGATTAAGAGATTTAATAATATCAAGAAATTGGATTAAAAAATATAGAAAACTACCATGTTTCTCCAAAAATAATGTTTGTCATAAAATTACACAAGAATCTATTTTCTTGATAATTTCTATGTTTAATTCATTTTGTTTCACCCATGTCCACATTACTTAAAAGCCACATAGATAATAAATATTAAATGTGAGCTAAAATCTTTTTCTGTTTTACTTTGAATTTATTTTTTTCTCTTTGATGCTAAAGTTTTGAGCAAGAAAAATTTTTATGCAAGAATTAAAGCTTGAAAATACTTGTGGGTAGAGGCCCTCCCGTTGATCGTCGATTTGCTCGAGCGGGCCCAGTAACGTCTCCATTGGAGACTTTGTTGTTACTGTGTCTGGCATATTGAATACTCTCGGTAGCTTGCCAGGCTCTCCGAGAGGGGCGGAGGAATCGAACTCGGGTCGGCCATGTTGGCCGCTTGTAAGGCGAACGCCCTACCCGCTGTGCTATGAAAATTTCAATATGAGTGCAATAGTTTGGACTTTATTGCATGATTTCAAATAGTATACCTTTTTTTGATAGATGTCCCATATCCTACTTGTCTAGTACATAAAACATTTACATTAAAAATTATAGACATTAAAGTCACTTTTAGCTTCATAAATAGCCCCATACAGTATCAGATATTGACAACATTTTGTTATTTTAATATTGTACTAATTTAATGTTTGTATTCATCACCCTTTTGCCAATGTGTTGAAATGTCCTCAACCAATAATCAAGGAGATAAATTTTCTAAATTAATTTAACAATATCCTGAGCCCAATATTTTTGAACTATTATCTAAATCAGACCTGGAGCGGTAGCACAGCAGGTAGGGCGTTTGCCTTGCACGTGTCGACCTGGGTTTGATCCCTCCACCCCTCTCTGAGAGCCCGGCAATCTATGAGAGTATCCCGTCCGCACAGAAAAGTCTGGCAAGCTCCCTGTGGTGTATTCAATATCTCCAAAACAGTAACAAGTCTCATAATGGAGAGGTTACTGGTTCCCACTCGAGCTAATCGATGAACAATGGGAGGACAGTGCTACAGTGCTACAGTGCTATCTAAATCAAAGAACTCTGTAAAATTTAAAGATGAAATTACTTTGTACATATCATATATAGAAATTAAAGTATTACTTATAATTTCTCTTGTGAGAATACTATCACTATAACCTATGCAGACTTCATACTTACTCCAGTCAGGAAGAGGGAAAAATACCTCT